AGGTTTCTGATCTGACTTAACCCGACCCAATCGGACCTAAACGTGGGTTGATCCGATCTGATCCGGATTAATACTTTTTACGTTGATCCGAATCCAACCCGCCGGTCAAGCCGACCAGATTCGATCTCTGTAAGGCAGTATAATTTCACATCAGTGTCTTGCATTTCCTCACGTACACAGATACTATAACACTGAATTCGGTCAAATAAAAAAGAAAAAGAAAAACAATACAAACACTTACCTTCTTACTTGTTCAACTTTGAATTGAAATGGTTTTTCCCAACAATACATTTTCACTAATCGAATTGACCTGACAACTTCATTCATTAATTTGATTCGTACATCTGACTGATTTATTTTTGATTCCCTACAACAAAACTCAACGTTCAACTTTAACTTGGATCCACAACAAATCTTAGCTTGAACCGTACCATATCTGTTGCGTTATTTTACCCAGAATCATTTGAAAAACACAGAAAAGAATGGTAAATAAAACTGCAACAAAAATAATTGGACCCGTTCTCCGCCACAGAATCCAAATCACAATGATGACTTCAATCGGTCCAATAATCAAAAAATATATCATATCAATAAAATCAAGCATTCTACCAATATCATTCGTCATTAAATTAATTATCTTTCCAGACGACATGGATTTAAATGAACTTGTATGCAATCTGGAAATGTATCTGTGATTCACTGAGAATGGCAAGTGGTCTAACATTTGTTTCCCTGCTATTTCTTCAAATGTTTGGATTACTATGGTGGCATAATATCCCGTTTGATTTAGAATTATTTGCCATTGCATTTGTTCTTTTTCAAAGTAAGTGAGTTTCTTTGAGACTACTTCACGCAATACCAGTTTCTCCTTTGTTTCTTTCTTTTAGCACTAAGATTTACATTGTTATGGGCATTTCCCGAAGCATTTCTGTCTAGTCAACAATATCGAATATCACAAAAACGGATCGAAGTAAGACAAAACTGTTTACCAGTAGAGATGCTACATTACTATTACTAGTGATAAGTAATAAGAAAAGCGTT